TTCTAGAACTAACACCCAAAAAAGATGTCCCCTCCTTCAGTTCACTCTAAATTGTCACTAGCTGTTGACTCTATCTTGTCTTTGAAACCTTCCCAGGCTTCCCAGGTAGCTCAGTTGTAAAGAATCCACCTGCCAATGCAAGAAATGCCAGAGACTTGGGTTTGATTCATGAGTCAGGAAGATCCCCTGGAGGAGGAAAAGGCAACCCACTCCAGTATTCTTGCCTGGAAAATCCCATGGGCAGAGGATCCTGACGGGCTACAGTCCATGGGGTCTCAAGAGCTGGACATGATTAAGCATGCACGCTGCATGCCTCTTGAAATTTTATGGTCTTGTTCACTGCAATCTTGTCATTTATTACTTTTTGAAATGAATTCACTAACAGTGTTACAAATCTACTTGGGCTTGGAGGCAAAAAAAAAAACTCAGGCTATTTGGAGTTATGTATAGCATAGCAGTGAGGATGTGAGGGGCTCTGCCATTACCACAATGCTTTAGTAGGTGTGTGAACTCTGGTCATCTCTATTGGCTGCTCAAAACCTCTTCATTTATAGGTTTTAAGCTTGGTCTTAGTTAAACAGACAAAGTTTCTGGTCAAGTAATCTGGGTAAATGAGGTCCCTGAATTTTGTAATTAAAGAAATGTCCTAGAAAAAACCCAAACTGACAAAATATTAGTGGCCTTGGGTAGAAAACTGTATGTTCCTTACAATGGAATGGTGTTCCTTATAATGGAATGGAGGGGAGTAGGAGAAAGGATGAAGTGACCTCTTATTCAGAGGAAGAGCCAAGGCAAGATACCATGTAGAAAGACTGAGTTTTGTACAGTTTCCAACAAAGTGGTCAATGAGAAAGTTATTTGACAAATACTTACTGAGAATTTAAGAGTTAAATGTTAAGAGCTAGGAGATTCTGAAATAGCTGGATTCAGTAGGATCACTCCTGCAAGAATGATCTCAAATGTCTGTATGACAGAAACACATTATTCTCACACATGTTCATACTGTGAGTAACAAAGGTATAATGTGCATGTGCTTTTCCTGCTGCATGTATTATTGTTCAACAACCTTTATGGAGTCCCTGCTATGTGTCAAGAAATTTACAGATTCATTTATTCAATGAAGTGTTCATTGAGTGTTTACTATATTCTAGGCACTGAGAAAGCCAAAGATATTAGCATGCAACTACCATCCTCAGAAAATCTGTGGAGGATAAAGAGAGAGGATGTAGCCGTGCTCTCAGCTGTCACTCTTTCTGGTCATTTGAACCCAGGGAGATGCAGTCCCTTAAAAACAAACAAACTTGGACCATCACAGGAAGAAGTGCATGGAAATAAGGAGGGCAAGGACTAGAATTGGAGGGGATAGTGTAGAAGAAGGACCTGGTAAGACAGATCTCTGAGCAAAGGAAAAACCTTCTCTTTGCCAAATGACTAAGGGCTAGCATAGGAGACAGTTATGATGATACTGCAGCTTGTCAGAAGAATCCTTTCTAATAATAAGGTTGTTTCACTCTGTGATTTTTAAGATATGCAAACTTATACTTTGCCAGATTTAAGGGGCTAGACGGAGAATTCTTTTTATAAGCAAAATCATGCAAAAGGAAGATAGAACCTCAAGTTTTCATCTGAGAGGCCACATACAATTCAAATCAGAACCGATGGCCCTCATGGGACTGAAACAACCTGAAGTGGAGAACACAACCCACCTCCCACACAGCCTCTGGACAGTCTCTGACAGCCTGATGATTAATGCATAAACTGGAAAGACATTTCATTGACTGCCTTGTAGTCTCATGAGCACAATGCAGTCAATAAATATTTATTGAATGTAATTTCCTGGGGCTTGCAGCACTTACTCTGTGATAACTTACAACTGAATAAGCAAGAATTATTCATGGTGGTTACAAATAAATATATAAGTATATGTTAATGGAATCCAAACTACAAATGGACTGCTAGAAAGAAAATGTGCAACCATCTGCAGACAAGTCATCCAAGTGGTACTAGACTTGAGGTAATTAAAAAGAAGTGTGTTTGTCACACAAGCCCCAGAAGTGAGAACTGAAAGAGAAAGAATAAAGGAAAAAAGAAAGGAGAGGAGAGAGATTTATAAATAGCTCTATTTCATACAAATGAAAATATATATGTTTGACTTTAAAAGTTAATCTTTTTTTCCTCTGGCTTTCTATGTACAATACTTTCATCTGTCACTGAAATATCTCCTACACTCAAGAAATGGCAGAGTTAACTGAAATGGGCTTCCAAATTGCAGTTTTTGCAATAAAAATAAAATATGGCTTTCTGCCACCTATTTGGAGCTATAGCACCAATAGGCTGATGCAATCCCTGCTAAGCCCCAGTCATATTGCATTCTGAGTGGTATATCACCAGTTTGGGCATGAGGATGAGTATTAGATTACATTCACTTCTGTTTTAACATTTGTTCTGAGTTAAAAGTAAATTAAAACTTTGTATTTGAGATAACATCCAAAAGGGACAGTGTAATTACCACGTTCTCCCTTATGCATTCTCCCTAAGCTCCTGTGAAGTCTGAGAATGCACAGCCACAGTGAAAGCAGGAGCCTGGGAAATGCTAAAGATGAGACAGGCATCTTCATGGCTGCAGGTCCAGCTTCAGAGAGGAAAGATCTTTCCTCTGGGAAATGCTTCAGTAAATAATTCTACAACAGTAATGCAAACACTCAAGAAGACACTAGCCATGACCACGCAGGTTTAGCCATTGGCCAAATTCGAAAGGAGACAACAGTAATTGCACAGATCCACCTCTCTTGGCTCTGATTCCAGGGTTGCCACAACCATTCCATGACCTAAGAGGAAACCAAGACTTTATTGCTGTCAGGAAGCAAAAAAGAGGCAGAACCAAGAGAGAATTCAAGACTTCTCAAGACTCTTTTTAGAATACCACCGCAAGCATGGAAAGTCATCAGTTCTGCAGTACACTGGACCTCCCTTGGAAGTAGCCAGACAATGTTTGATTCACTGCATGTTGAGAGTTGTTTTTGCCCTTTTGATGCTCTGTAGTTGGCAGCTGAGTGACAGATTTTATAGCCACTAACTCACCCAAGGAAACATCCCCAGAGATTTATAGATTATTACTCACCTCCACCACAGTATCTTTTGCAAGTCTCTTTCTGATTCAACTCTCTCCTGACTTCAATACTACCTCCCCTTCGTGTCTTTTTGTTAAGGCATAGTTTTATTTCCCAAATAGGTGATAAAGTTTTCAGGGTCATGCTGACACTTTGTGTTTGGCAAAGCATGAGCACAATGACTGTGATATTTAAACAAGAGTAGAGACATGGGGAGTCAATAATTATGCAATATATTTGTATGTGACACATTGTAACCAGATTTCTTAAGGTTATCATTTTAAAGTGCACAGAAATATCCAACAGTATTGTATACCAAGAATGAACATAGTGTTGTAGGTCAATTATACTTCAAAACAAACAAAAGCAAATTCAGAGAAAAAAATGATAAAATTTGTGGTTATCAGAGGTGGGGATTTGGGGGAAGGAGGAATTGGATCAGCCTAGAGATTCTAGATTCCGAACACTGTAAAAGAGAATTACAGGGAGCCAGCTGGCAGCTATTCTATTTGTCTGCTCATTTCTGTCTCCATTGACTTTTCATTCCCATGGAAGTCAGAAACACCTGCATGTCAGAGAATTAAATGCATGATTCTGAGATTTTCTTGGATACTTAAATCCCAAAAGCAGTATAAGACAATTCAAAGGGATGGATCCATGAAATTTGCAAGAAAGGAAGTTGTTTTTCAGTGTAGACAGTAGTTATTGGCAGGTATTAAGAGTGCAAAATAGTAACAAAGGGATGGGAAAGGATGTGAGGCATGGCTCCTCTTCCCCCTGTGAGGACTCTGTATCTAGGCCCGTGAGGTAGGAGTACTCGACAGTGGCCACTTTGAGTCCAGCACCCCCTCAAGAACAAGCTTCCTGACTTCCAGGAAGGGAGCAGCACCCCAGAAGGGACATGGGCTATGTTCCAACCCAAGCTGCTTGGTTCCTGCCTACCATACATCTCAATAGCTCAGGGTAGTAGTGTTAGGGGACTGGGCTAAACCTATTCTTTTAAAAGGTATTTGACTTTCTGAATGCAGTAGGCAGAATTGATATGATTATAACTGATATGAAATGCTGATTGGAATATTTGTTATTTCTAAAATCTCTGCTGAATTTGAAAAGCAACACACAAATCTGGACCTGGGCATTCTTTCAGATGACACCATTCAACGCCCAATCCCAAGCAAGAGATGGAGAAATGGCTCCAGGCCTGAAGTCATCCTTCATTTTTCTTCACTCTTCCTGCAACAGGTTTCATCCACCCTAGCCTTTAATATGCTAAAGTGTGTCTGTCTCAGAAGGTGGAGAGTCTCTTTCTATTCATGAAGCATACATTTTTTTAACCACACACTGAATTGGTGAAGTTTTCTCTAGGAACTATTGCTTTTTGTTGGCTTTAGGACACTGCTTTCTCATTCATACACATTCACTTGCCTTCAGATTGTATGGACTTGTACAGGATTGCTAGCCTTTTAAATTGTCATACCAGGACTTTAAAAACTACTATTTCTATCACGATTATTCCTTAATCTAAAAAAGATAAAGATAGACTTTATGTTGAATAAATTCACAAGTTGTTCTTATTTTTCTGATTTTACTGTAAACCACCATCCTATACTGGGGCATCATGTGCCTAGCATTAGAGTTACAAGGATGAAAATTTCTCTCCTTGGATATTGCTAGATGGGTTCTAAAATGTTAAAATATCTGGCTGATTTTTCTTATAGGTTTTTGCATTCATGTCATAAAAATCACAAAGCTTAAGGTTAGAATAGTTGTAAAAATCACCAGGACTCAAAGGGTCTCTAAGGAATTTTTCACTGGGCAGGAACAATGCATAATCACTAATGCAGATCTTGGTGACCAAATTGGAATTTTGTCCTTTCTTCTCCATTCCAGGTACATGGCCATCATCCACCCCCTCCAGCCCAGATTGTCGGCCACAGCCACCAAGGTGGTCATCTGTGTCATCTGGATCCTGGCTCTCCTCCTGGCCTTCCCCCAGGGCTACTATTCAACCACGGAGACCATGCCCAACAGAGTGGTGTGCATGATCGAATGGCCAGAGCATCCCAACAAGATTTATGAGAAAGTGTGAGTAGAGATGACTCCCAGTGCCTTCTTTGCCCTCTCTTGTTCCCTTCTTTCTTTCCATGTTCTTTTGTTGATTAGGATTTAATTTGTATCTGTAAGTATTGCTCACAACCACTCTGATTTCAGGATGGTATGTCCATAGTTATGAGGGAGCTATTATGTCTCAAATACTATTCTGGACTTTGAATGAAAAGTTTTAAAATATAAGACCTGGGTCATTGGGGTGCACTTCCATTTGCCTCCTGCCAATGAACCAAATGAATGCTAAAAAACCAATTAGTTTGCCCTGCCAATGTCTGCATTTGTTTGCCTTGAAATCTCTTCTTCACCTACAGAATGCCACTTTGCTCTCTTGCACAGCATGCCAGAGGGTGAGGGAATTAACACCAACCCTTACTCCCAGCAGTTCTCAAAACATGACTGATAGGAGTTGGCATATGAACACGCCAGCTCCCTCACCCTTCAGGTGGGATGCCTCTGTGGGGTGTGTGTTTACTGTGTTCAGGGTTTCCTCTTACAATTAGGCTCCAGTCACCCTGGTGATAGCTGGCTCAGTGACACAGCCTTTGATATCCACTCCCTACTGTTGTTTCTCCTTCCACATAAGTCATTTGCACTTGAATATTTGTCTCAAGATCTGTCTCTGGGGAAAACTAAACCAAAACAGCTACCTTCCAGGATTTTTCAACTGGAAAAATACATATGCATGTGAAATGCATGGAAGGCAAGGCTAGCACATTGAGACCATGAGTTACAGGTCCCAAACAGGCAGACCTACTTCTCTTCCAGGGACTTGACTGGTCACATTTAGGGTTTTTTGAAGCTATTCTGGCATATTTTTCCAAGAGTTCTTGTCTTAGAGACAACATTAAAATGGCCTTTTCTTTGTTTTGTTCCAAGTGAGCAGCAATATGACATTTATATTACACCAGTTTTCTGGACTCAAAGCACATTGATAACATGATTCCTATTGAAAGACCTCTATAATTTTCCAATCTTGGGTTTATTAAGAGAATTGTAAAAGACTACTGGTTAGGATCCAGAAGATCTGGGTTTAATTCCAAGATTGCCAGTTACTAGCTATGTGAGCCTGGGTAAGATCACAGTCTTCCTGGTTGTTAAATGGAACATAATAAAGCACTACTACTTCCAGTAAACAATCATTTTGAACAGCAAACAAGATAATATATTCTCACTTTGTAAGCTATTCAGTGCCATATGCAAGATATTTTTATTGAAACAAATTCATTAGGTAGTATAATCATTATAGACCTTTGAACTTCTTGAATGGTAAAATGAAACACTGTTCCTGTTGGCCCCCTATATTGAGGGTCCAAAGCCTGTTGCACAGAGTTACACTGCTGTTCTACCGAACACTGAAACGAGGCTTACCAGGAAGCAATATATAAAGCTCAGACTTTGCCTTCCAGACACAGGCAGTGGGATTTAGTTGATCAAGCAGTGGGAGGATTAACTCTCAGCCTAGGAGATAGTAAACATTTTTCTTTCAAATGAAACTACAAGCCTGAGCAGAGTCCCAGCAGGAGAAAGAACATAGCTTTACAAGATGTTCAGGACCCGTGAACGTGTTCACGCCAGCAGGTTCCCTCAAAGGTGGGGTGGCCCTCTGAAACAAAGCTCTTCATACAAACTGCGTCAGAAACTGCCATCAACTTCATGAACTGGAGCTCATTTGTTAGCTCTTGTGATCTTCTCAAAGTCTGATGCCCTTTCTGCAACTTTTGTTTCAAATAAGCACAGTTCTTCTGTCTTCTAACAAACTCAAATTTTAACTTGGAAATAAAGGTTTCTTTTCCCATAGATGTCTATGATCTCATCCAAGAAACAGTAGTGTTTAGTGTTTTGCCTTTAAACACTTTGCTGTTTTATGCTTACTCATGAATAGAAAGTCCCTCTGAGACTCAACGTTTTAGACCACCCTTTCAAGTGACCTTTTAAGAATTTAGGGTAACTGCTATTGGACTCATGGTTAGGTTTGCTGCTATTGGTTATTTTATAATTTTAACCTAAAATATGAGCCTAGATTAAGAGAATCTGATTTTATCTATTCTAGATGTATAAAATGTTTACAGATGCAGTAACAAGTTGAAAGAGTCCATGTTTGCCATGCACATATTGTCTTACATACATAAGTGTAAGCTTTATGCCAACCTATTTTGTTTTTGTCAGTATTTGCCATAATGCATTATGATATATTTTTAGGCAACTTAAATTTTACCAGTTCTAAACTAAGCACATAGTTATATTCTTTACTCTTCTATTAAAACTAATGATTGCGATTTCCACAATACATGATAATTCCAAACTTGAAACCTGAAGGAAACTTTGCTCTGCAACAAAGTAATAATTAGGGTAAGAGGATAGGCTCCAGTTAAATGAGGGATCAACTCCCAGCTACATCACTCTCAAATTGGGTCATAATGGTCAAGTTATTCAAGCTTCTAAGACTAACAGTATAGTCCATATAGAGGTGTTGAGAGAAGTAATTAAGATTCGTGCTTAGCTAGTGCCTCGCACGTTGCAAAGAATCTAGGGAATGTTATCTACTGCAGTTAGCATCACTCAATGATCTGAGTACATGTCATTGGCAGATGGTGGCAGACAGGCAGCAGACAGTGTGGTGGGCAAATGTTTAGGTCCATCTTGTCTGATGAATAACTTCTGTCAGATAATTACACTAAAAGATTTTGTGAAAATCTTGGTTTGCTACATTTGCCTTCTGGCTGCATGGTTAACCTCTAACCCTGATCGTTTATCAGTTAGACTCTTACTAATACATGGTTCAAATTAGGCACTTTTAAAGAAAGATAACCCTATAAAAGAATGGGCAAAAGTGTTGAACATGTGCCTCACAAAAAGAGATATCTAAATGACCAATTAATTTATAAGGAGGCACAAAACTTCAATTGTCACCAGTGAAATGCAAGTTAAAACCATAATGAAACCTTCCTGCCTATTCATTAGACACAAATGTTCAGAAGTCTGACTAAGCTAAGCATTTAGAACTTTTGGTAAAGAACCTATTGTAGACTGCTAGAAGCATAAAGTCACATTGGAAAACATTTTGTGGTATTTAGAAAAGAAGAAACTATTAATTCCATAAATAGGTAGTAATACTACAACTTCAAGCAAAGAAGTAGTCACCATGAAAGTGAAGACTATGATTATCTCTCAAGGGAAGGAAAGGAATATGACCAAGAAGACACATAGAAGTGCTTCTGGGGAAATGGCATTTTTTTAGTTCAGCGACAGGTAGTAGCATTAGCGTTTGCTTTAAAATTATTCATAATACCAGGAAGTTTGGTTTATGCACTTTTTCTGGAATGTATGTTTCATTTTTTAAAATATTTATTTATTTGGCAGCATAAATCTTTAGTTGAAGTATGCGCGATCTTTAGTTGCAACAGGCAAACTCTTAGTTGCAGCATGTGGGATCTAGTTCCCTGACCAGGGATTGAACCTGGGCCCCCTGCGTTGGGATCATAGCAATCTTAGCCACTGAAACACAAAGGAATTCCTATGGAATGTATGTTTCATTTTTATTTAACTTAAAATTGACTGCTATTTAAAGGCTGTTGCTTTTACAAACTCTCAAGAAACTGCTTCCATGGGGATAACCCCAAAATTCCCTCCATAAGAAATTTCTTCTAAGGTGTGAGCTTTGCCCGGGAGTGACGATCATAGGTGTTCACCTCTGGATGAGCCGAGGGGTCGGTGGGCCCACTGCACTCTCGTGTGTACTTGCCTTTTGCCTTGCTGACTCCAGTATTGTAGCGATTTGGAATTTTTCCAATTGGTCTAAGGGTTTTAAAACAAATTATTGAGCCTGGAGGGATGTGACAATGTTAATAAGAGAACAAGCCCATAGGCTTTCCATAGTACTCATCCCCTCCTGCTATTATTCATAAGTACATACATCTGGATTACAAAATGTTACACATAAACTTGGTTAATCTTCCTTGGAAGTCATTTAAAACTTTACAAGTAAACTACAGAGTATGGTGAAAACTCTAACTATTTCTTTAATTATCCATATTCCCATCATTTATAAAGGCTCAGACATTTTGATGAATTTCCATCCAGGGAATTATTGTTCTTAGTTTCTTTTGAAGTGTCTTGTGTACATACAAGTCAACACAAATATAGATTGTTGCCATTTTTGTAACACAAATCAAGCTTATTATTTATATTGTTCTGCACCCTGCTTTTTATTTAACTTAATACATCTTAGAGATCTTTCCATAAGAGTTCATAAAGAGCTTCTAAATTGCCAATATCCATTGGATCATAGGAAAAGCAAAAGAGTTCCAAAAAAAGCATCTACTTCTGCTTCATTGACTATAAAGCCTTTGACTGTGTGGATCACAGCAAATTGTGGAAAATTCTTCAAGAGATGGGAATACCAGACCACCTTACCTGCCTCCTGAGAAACCTGTATGCAGGTCAAGAAGCAATAGTTAAAACAAGACAGGAACTGGTTCCAAATTTGGAAAGGGGTATGTCAAGACTGTATATTGTCACCCTGCTTATTTACCTTATATACAAAATACATCATGTGAAATGCTGGGCTGGATGGAGCACAAGCTGGAATCAAGATTGCTGGGGAAAATATGAATAACCTCAGACATTCAGATGACACCTCTTTAATGGCAGAAAGAGAAAAGGAACTAAAAATCCTCTTTATGAAGGTAAAAGAGGAAAGTGAAAAAGCTGCCTTAAAACTCAACATTCACAAAACGAAGATTATGGCATCTGGTCCCATCACTTCCTGGCAAATAGATGAGGAAACAATGGAAACAGTGATAAACTTTGTTTTCTTGGGCTCCAAAATCACTGCAGGCAGTGCTTACAGCCATGAAATTAAAAGATGCTTGCTTCTTGGAATAAAAGCTATGGCAAACCTAGACAGTGTATTAAAAACCAGAAACATTTTTTTGCTGACAAAGGTCCATATTGTCAAAGCTACGGTTTTTCCAGTA